TCAATTACACCGAATTTTATAGCAATACATATTGCAATTGCAATACTTGTAAAATCTTATCTCCCAAAAAAAAAAAAAAAACCACTACAAGAGCAATACATAGGCACATGCAGCTTTAATAACAAAACTGTGACAAAATTTCCGTAAAAGGAAAAAAAAAAAGTTGACAAAAAATGTTCTGGAAGAGTAAGACATGGGTACATCAGCGCACGCCGGCTTTAATATAACATTTTATTGGCAAAATTTGAGTTTAGATAACTCCTTCGTACATGCTTTATGCTTATGCATTACTAAGAAAAGACTAGCAATTCATGCCATGATCAGTAAAATACGCAAGTAAAAGCCAATTTTCTGGTATCGTATTATCTATCAACTTGAGCGGGTTAAAAATATAGAGCGCGTTTAGAACTCATTTTAAAATAATTTTTCTTTTTATATGAAAATGAAAACGTTTTTAATTTCAAATAAAAATTATTTTTAAAAATGTGTTTAATAATTTTATCAAAAAATTATTTTTAATATAAAAAAATTCATTAATATCTCTCTCTTTCTCTGCTCGAGAGAGGAGAAAATGAAAACAAAAAATAAAAAACGATTAAAAATCATTTTTCATTTCTCTCTTATTTTACACTAAACTAAAAAATCGTTTTCATTTCTGTTTTTTATTTTTATTACATCAAACACCGTTTTGAAAACGTTTTTATTTTTTTTTTCCCAAAAAATATGAAAAATAAAAAAAGAATCAATTCCAAACACGGCCTCTGTGCCTATGTTAGCAGAGGAAAAAAAAATGAAAATAAGTAACCAAAAAAAAAAAAGTCTAAGAAATGGCATGTCGTTTTGTGATACAACAAACTACGACATAACTGTTGGAACAAAGAGGATGCCGTTGTTCAACAATATAAAGGAAATTAAAAATGACATCTAGATTCAAACGAGTGTTCCTTTTCCTTACAGTCATATTTTCAATTCCTCGCACCGTTTAAATCCATACGTTTTTCTTTCCTTCTTACTGAGCAAAATGTAAAATCGACATTTCTTTCTCACCTTGTTTTTAACACGTTGTTTCTAATACAAGCGTCAAAGGCAATTCTGTCGCCTTTTGGAAAGCCAAAAACGACATATCGTTCTAAATACAATATTTATACTAGCTGTACATATATCCGATACAATATCCAAAACAACATCTCAAGTGTGTTTTTTCTAAATACAATATCCAATATTTATACTAGTTGTATTAAAGTACAAGTACAAATTTTCATGGCAATAACGATCCAAAAGACCACGCTCTGTAAATGCCTTATTATACTGTACATTACAAAACATACCAATCAGTATAACCATTTTAATTAAATAACCAATTCATTCAAGTACAAACGGTTGAACATTTCAAGATACAATGTCCATTGTTCACTTCCTAATTCTCAACTATGATCTTTCCAGTAGCATGGCCATCAATACTCTTGGCCCAAGCATCTTCAGCCTTGCTCAGCGGATACTTCGAGTCGATAACAGTCTTGAGCTTTCCTTCCTTCACCAAATTAACAAGATTCTCGAGGTTCTCCCTCTTGACAGTCGTTAGAAGTGGCACCAATTGCTTTGAAGAGAAGGTGAGCTTTTTTATGGCAAAAGTCAACAATGCAGATGGACCGGGAGTAATGTCTATAACCTTCCCATTCTTGCTCAGATTAGGCTCAAAAGTCGACCAAGGAATGCCAGTAGCGCAGTGGATAACCGCGTCATATTTTTTGCCAGAAGGGCTCCTCAGAGCAGCCCCGTCTGGTGTCTTGTAGTCAAGAACCTCATCAGCGCCTAAGCTCTTAACAAATTCAATGTTGCGGGCACCACAAGTGGCCGTAACATGTGTGTTCCCAAGCTTCGCCAGTTGAACTGCGTAGTGACCTACACCGCCGGAGGCGGCAGTTATCAAAATGTTTGCCCGTTCCATCGAGCTTAATCCCTGCAGCTTTTGTGAGGGCCTGGTGAGCTGTGAGCCCAGCAATTGGCAAGCCTGCAGCTTCAGCCGCTGAGACTTCAGGTGGCCTTGCAACTGTCATGCTCTCACTAGCCACAACAAATTCAGCTAGTCCGCCTGCATACTGCCATGTATATAACACCGTATCATATATGACTGCCACAAAAGTTATCAGGAATACATACCAAAAAGGAAGTCACAGCCTAAATGATTGTAAGCTGTAAATTGTTTCTTTATAGGCAAATAGTTCCAAGTTTGATATATTAGATTAAATCAAGTGACCAATATATCAACTCTCCTCCTACAGAGGACATGGTTTTATCCAACAGTAAGATCACCTTTCAATACTATAATTTCGATCTACTTGTCAGTAGACACGGTAAGATCTCAAGGACACCAACACTCAGCTAAATTAAATGGCGAATAATTAGGTTGTAACCAGCAGAGAAACATGAGTTCAAATAGTTTCCTGACCACTGTTTTGTGTTATCATATCTAAAATCATGCTTTATTGAGGCACTTACGGCATGGTTAAGCGTAATTAGAACTTTGTCGCCCGCTTTGAAATTCTTGACTCCTTGTCCAACTTCCACTACTTCTCCAGCCACATCAGTACCTGTAACAGTACTAAATGTCATCAGCCCTGACAACAAACACCACTATTCCGCCATTTCCACTTTTCCAAATGAATCACTCGATCCACAGCAAACTAGTTATCAGACCAATCTGCTATTTATTGAAATAAACGCCATATACAAATAGCAAAAGGACCAAATCAATAAAAAAGAATTTACAGTCCATTTGTGTGGTTCAAACCATTTTGCTGTAATGTTTTATCTTACAAAAAATTTGAATTTTTGTTCAAACTTTATATTCAAACCTACCAACCAAATGGGCCATTAAATTCTTTCCTTTCCTAATTTGCTCAACACAAATGTCCAAGAGCTTAAGAGCTAGTTTGGCATTCCTGTGCCTCTTTTAAAAAAATTTGTTATGCTTCTACTTATGCTGAAAGCTGAAATCTTTAACTTATTAAATTTGATTAAATTATAAAACCGTTCTTGATTTGATATAATGTTGATGAGATTTGACGGTACAAACTACAAAACTTATATTTTACCATTTACCGGTATGTTTCTTTTTTGGGTACTATACCGCAGAATTCTCTAAAATATAAACAAAATATAATAATTACCAGGGATGTGAGGGAATTTGCGAGGGTAGAAAGGCCTAACGCCTTTCTGAATTTTCCAATCAAAAGGATTCACAGCTGCTGCATCGAATTTCAGCAAGATTTCATCTTTCTTCGGAGTAGGAACGGGAACTTCAACATGCTGAAATTGAACATGCTAATCATGAGAATACATATAACTCAACTAATCATGTATTCCATGACCTTCACAAAGTTATCCAAGTTCTCTCTCTCTCTCTCTAAATCGAACGCGAAAATATAGAATTGGTGGAGAAACGGAAAGGAAAAGAGAAAATGAAGAGAGTACCTTCAAAGCCTCAGCTCCTCCACCGTAGCCGCTGTACTGAACGGCATGCATAAGCCTGCCAGTGCCAGCCGTGGATGCCATAGGCAATAAATATATTTAGAAAAAAAAAATCCTCCGTGAGAAAGAAAGAAGTGTGGGATTTTGGTGTGGTTTTGTGATTGCCTGAAGATTTCGGTTGTTAGATGCTAGCTCCTTGAGAATTAGATGATGAAACCAGCCATATCATAGGAGATGCACACGAAGAATTTACATCTTATGGGTACGTTAACGAGAGATGTGACTTGACGTAGGACAAGAAATTAGACGATACTAGTGAATGGATCGGGTCAAACATGTCGGCCTGTGGTCCGCATTTTGTGCTCAGCCCAGCCCATGTAAAGGCTCTGTTAGGCGGGACCGAACCTAATCTATGACCAAAGGTTGGTCAGCGTAGACAAATGAGCACACAAGTCTAAATTTTTATTATATACTTTTAATTAATGTTATTTTTAATTAACTAATTATATTAATTAAGGGTAAGAAATAAAAATATAAACTCATATATTTTAAAAAGTAAGTTTAATAATTTTTTCTTTTTTGTTTTTTTTTCTAATATATCTTCTATGAAATGCATGCATTCCAGCCACGCCCCTACAGGGCTTGCCAGGCTAATGGGCCCAAGGTTGGCCTACACTTCCCCTCCTCAGTTTACTCTCTTGGCCCGCATAGGTCCGTTTGTGAGGCCCGATTTGACAACTCTAAACGGACCCAAAGTGTTCATCAACTAAAATGTTAATCGCGTTATAAAAAATTAACCTGAGCACCACTTATTTCATTAAAGTATCAACCCGAACTCGACATATTTATTACATGCGTTGGCACAATTAATTTTACAACATGTTTAGATCATACTAAATGTATATTCAACAAAGTTACTATCTATATGATACAATTATAACATGCTTAACACGTTTATGATCCATTTATCTTTCTTTCGAGGATAAGATATGAAAGTTTTGTCAATAATTTCAAGTTTTATATTTCTTGTGTAAGTAAATCATATAAATTTTTATATTTTATCGTATATATAATTGTATTGTAAATGACACATAATTTAATCGCTATAATTCACATCTCGCGTTTTCATGTTAATCCGGACACATTTATCAATTACATTAATGTGTCAAACAATGCTATAAAATCACGTTAATCGTAACAATACACAATCCCAACATATAAAGTGTTTTTTTCTAAATACAATGTCTAACTGTAGTATCTGTATTAAAGTACAAGTACAAATTTAAATGGCAATAACAATCCAAAACCACGCTCTGTAAATGCCTTATTATACTGTACACAATAAAACGTACCAAGCAGTATAACCATCGTCATTATACAGCCAATTCATTGGAGTACAAACTGTTGAACATTTCAAGATATTATGTCCATCGTTCACTCTCTAATTCTCTATAATGATCTTCCCAGTAGCATGGCCATCAATACTCTTGGCCCAAAGGCGAAGCATCATCAGCCTTGCTCAGCGGATATAAAGTAAAGACGAAGATCTCAACCGTCCGTCTTTTCCCAATACAATGCCGAAATATATAATCCAAAAGCAAAACCACATCTCGAGCTAGATTAAAGTTCAAGTACAAATATTCATTGTAATAACAATCCAAAACCACATACTCTGCAAATGCTTGACGCCTAATTAATACTGTACATTACAAACATTACCTATCAGTATAACCATGTCATTACACAAACTATTGATTCGAGCACAAACCGTTTGCCACTACAAGATATAATGCCCATTGTTCACTCCCTAATTCTCAACAATGATCTTCCCAGTAGCATGGCCATCAATACTCTTGGCCCAAGCATCTTCAGCCTTGCTCAGTGGATGCTTCGAGTCGATCACAGTCTTGAGATTTCCTTCCTTCACTAAATTAACGAGATACTCGAGGTTCTCCCTCTTGGCAATTGTTAGAAGTGGCACCAACTGCTTTGAAGAGAAGGTGAGCTTTTTTGTAACAAAAGTCAAAAATGCAGATGGACTGGGAGTGATGTCTATAACCTTCCCATTCTTACTCAGACTAGGCTCAAAAGTCGACCAAGGAATGCCAGTCGCGCAGTGGATAACCGCGTCATATTTTTTGCCAGAAGGGCTCCTCAGAGCAGCCCCGTCTGGTGTCTTGTAGTCAAGAACCTCATCAGCGCCTAAGCTCTTAACAAATTCAATGTTGCGGACACCACAAGTGGCCGTAACATGTGTGTTCCCGAGCTTCGCTAGTTGAACTGCGTAGTGACCTACACCACCGGAGGCGGCAGTTATCAAAATGTTTGCCTGCTTGCCGGTTCCATCGAGCTTAATCCCTGCAGCTTTTGTGAGGGCCTGGTGAGCTGTGAGCCCAGCAATTGGCAAGCCTGCAGCTTCAGCCGCTGAGACTTCAGGTGGCCTTGCAACTGTCAAGCTCTCACTAGCCACAACAAATTCAGCTAGTCCGCCTCCATACTGCCAATCATGCATATAACACCGTATCATAAATGAATGACGCATATAAGTTATCAGGAATACATACCCATAAGGAAGACACATCCCAAATGATTGTAACTTGTAACTTGTTTCTTTATAGGTAAATAGTTTAGTTTGATATATTAGATTAAATCAAAGTGACCTACATATCAACTCTCCTCCCAGACAAGACATGGTTTTATCCGACAGTAAGATCACCATTTAGTGCTATAATTATGATCTACTTGTCCGTAGTCACAGGAAGATCTCAAGGACACCAATACTTGCTAAACTACATGGCGAATAATCAGGCCTTAAGTAGTAGAAACTAGAAAGAAACACGAGTTCAAATGCTTTCCTGACCACATTCAGAGTTCTGCATTATAAATCTTAAATCATGCTTTATTGAGGCACTTACAGCATGGTTAAGCGTAGTCAGAACTTTGTCACCCACTTTGAAATTCCGGACTCCTTGTCCAACCTCCACTACTTCTCCAGCCACATCAGTACCTGTAACAGTAATAGACCTCATCAGCCCACAGAGCAAACACAACTCTTCAACTGGAAACAGTTTCCAAATTATATCACTCGATGTCTAAGCTAACTATTTATTCAACCACTCTATTTATTGATAGAGGCGTTATATATTGAATCCTGAATTTTTATTTTTTTTTCCTTATATACCCATAAATCCTCCGAACCATTTGTGAGCACAAGTTAGAAACTAGAGCCCTCCGCCAAATCCTACAATCGTTGGAAGGTATGAAACTATGACATTTTTCATGAAGGTGCCCATGAGGTGGTTTAAACCCCAAACCTTGTGCGGAATATTTTCTGAATCTTGATTAGCTAAATGACCCAATCAAATGACAAAGAGGCTTAAAGGTCAGTTTGGCAGTTTTTGCCTCTTTACAAATTTTTTATTCTGCTTATACTTATGCTACAAGCCAAAAATTTTTGGCCAAAAAATTGCTATGAAAAGTAGTTAGATTCTATATTAATCAACCTTAAAAATTGTCTAAACCAAACAATTACTAATATGCCACTTGTTACTGAAATTCTCTTATAAACACTTCTAGGAATTGCAACCGCTACTCCAAACCAACTTTTAAAGAAATGATTGGTGTAAAATACAAGAAATATTCTCTGGATTTTCATTAAATTTTATTACACTGTAATACTTTTCCATAATTTGATAATTGAGGATACAAAACTGTGTATTACGGACCGGTATGATTTTTTCATAATTTACTCTAGAATTCTCCAAAATATAAATTAACAAACATTTCTTCTTAATAAGAAAACTTCCTTTTACCAGGGATGTGAGGGAATTTGCGAGGGTAGAAGAGGGGCCTAAGAAAGCCTTTCTGAATTTTCCAATCAACAGGATTCAGAGCAGCCGCTTCGAATTTCAGCAAGATCTCGTCTTTCTTCGGAATAGGAACAGGAACTTCAACATGCTGAAATATTGAACAAACTGATCATGGGTATACACATTAATAACTAAACGATCTTCAAAGCATGTATTCCATGGCCGATTCAAAACCTTCATAAATCGTTCCAAATTCTCTCTCTCTCTCTCTCTAAGATCGAACGGAAATTTACAGAATTGGTATGCAGAATTGGTAGAGACAGCGAAAGGAAAAGAGAAAATGAAGAGAGTACCTTCAAAGCCTCGGCTCCTCCGCCATAGCCGTTGTACTGAACAGCGTGCATAAGCCTGCCGGTGCCTGCCGTGGACGCCATGGGCAAAACTATGTTGGAGGAAAGGCGTCGGATTTTGGTGTCGTTTTGTGATTGTTCTGGATGTCGGTTGGTAGATTACTAGATTAGATAACAGAGAGATCCTCGAGAAGTAGACGACGAAAAAGGCTATATAATAGGAGATAGACATGAAGAATCTAACCATTTTTATAGGTGAAGTTCACGAGGGATGAGACGCGACGTCGTTCTAGGGTGAGAAATGACGATACGCAAAGTGTTCATATTTATTAGTCGTATATAATATTAAAAAAAAGCCATTAATTCGTACATATGACCCATCATTGAACAGTGTCGGAAAATATCAATCCCAAGTCCCGATACACATTCGTTATATGGGTCGTCACGAGTGACGGCCAACCTATATATAATAAATACGAGCATGTATTCTGCGGGTGAAATATAATATTTTATTATATAATAGTTATATTTAAAATATATTCATATATATATATATATATTATACAGTATTATATTATATGATAGATATAAAATTTATATAAATATGTTTACATATATATAGTTTTATTATTTATAATATATATACAGATTATATAAAATAAAATACAATATTATTATGTTTTTTGAGCGTTTTATTTTTTTCAACTGTAAATATAAAAATAAAAAAAATATTTGTAAATATAAGTGTTAAAAAAATAAAAATATTTAAATTCTATAATATGAACTAAATATTATTTGCGGAATAAAGATCTTTTGTATATACATATTTACATATATATATATATACATATACAAACACATATACAGTATAAAACAATGTTGTTGTTTCAGTCCTTATTGATTTTTTTTTTTAAAAAGCAAGATAAGAATGTTAAAAAAACAAAAATTAATGAATATAATTTTTAAAGAAATTGACAAACTTTTATCATACATAGTGTAAATTAAATGATATAGAAAAAAAGATATTACTTTGTCTTTATACGTTTTTTAAAATGTTTTGTTGCCTTTGATTCAGAGTTGATATTGTAGAATATTATTTAGATATGTATTTAAAATAGTAAAAAAAAATGTATATTTAACATGTTTTATCTTATGCTTTATCTTTTTATGATTGG